AAGGCAGGAACGCCGGAGAGGACCACGGGACTGCCAGGAAGCGCCTGGTGTGGCACGGAGGAAGGAAACACCAAGGGCCTGAGCTCACCAACAGCCTCGGGCTGAGCCTGGCGTGGGCACGGTCCAACGAGCCCCTGTGGGTGGTTATTGCCCAGCTGCCCAATTGCTGCTTAGGTCATCAGGACAAGGCTTTGCTCCCCACAGACTATTTACTGCTGTTGCTCTTGTTGTCCCTTTTCTGGTGATGAAAGGGCTCTGACACATCCACCTTCTCTTGCTCACTGCCAGCACTGAGGGCAGAGTTCACTGGGGTCTGCAGCTGCTCACAAGGGACAGCACTGATCTGTGCTCTGTGTGACAGTGACAGGTCCTAGGGAGCAGCTGGAGCTGTGTCCGGGGAGGGTTAGGCTGGATATTAGGCAAAGGTGTTTGGACCCTGGGGTGATGAAAGGGCTCTGACACATCCACCTTCTCTTGCTCACTGCCAGCACTGAGGGCAGAGTTCACTGGGGTCTGCAGCTGCTCACAAGGGACAGCACTGATCTGTGCTCTGTGTGACAGTGACAGGTCCTAGGGAGCAGCTGGAGCTGTGTCCGGGGAGGGTTAGGCTGGATATTAGGCAAAGGTGTTTGGACCCTGGACAGCTCCCCAGGGCAGTGTCACAGCCCCAAGCCTGGCAGAGCGAATGTTTGGAGCTCAGGGAATGTTTGGCCAATGCTCTCAGGGACAGGGTGGATTGTTGGAGTGCCCTATGGATTGTTGGGGTGTTCTGTGCAGGGCCAGGAGTTGGAGTGGATGATCTTCATGGGTCCCTCCAACTCAGGATATTCCATGACTATGGTCCACCTAATCCAGACTTGCTGGCACAGTAACAGCCACTGTCACCTCAACACAGAGCTGTGTCAGGTGCTGCTGTTGCTCATCAGAAGAGACTCTGATCCTTACTGTTTCTTGCAGGGAGCAGCAACCTGGCTGGGGTGAGGCACATCCTGCTGGTGCTGTCCGGGAAGGGCGGAGTGGGGAAGAGCACCATCTCCACCGAGCTGGCCCTGGCACTGAGGCACCACGGGAAGAGGGTGAGTGAGGCTCTCTGGGATGCTGAGCTCTGCCTCCTCCTTCCCAACCTCCAGCTGGGCTGGGTTCGCCCATCCTTTCTGTGTGTGTGTCCTGGGGGGATTCTCTGTGAAAATGCTGTTTGTGATAGTGGTTCAAGTGATTCTTTTCTCTGTTGGCTTGTCCCAGCACTGGTAACTGCAGTTCCTTTCTCTTTTATCCAAGAGACCAAAATCCCCCAGTATTTATTGGTGGGTTGGAAACTGAGGCACTGAGAAATGCCGTTGCTGGTGTAACACTCTCCCTCCTTGTTAGAGGGATGAAGTGTCCCTGTTAGAATGGGGACAAAAGGAACTGTGTGGACACAAGACAGGCTGAATTCCCTGGGGATCATTTTAAAGCCTCTGTACAGCCAATGCCAGTTGGATTCTGGTGTAAATCTGTCTCTGAAGAGCGTGGAACCCCTGGGGGGAAGGAGGGCAGGCACATTGAAAGCAGTTCTTTGAGCCTGTGCCTCCAGTCTGCTTGCTGAGCCCCAGAGGCTGTTCACAGTGCTGGGGGCAGCCCAGGTTTGGGTGCTGCACCCTGAAGAGCTCTGCCTGGTTCCTGCAGGTGGGGATCCTGGACGTGGACCTGTGCGGCCCCAGCATCCCTCGCATGTTCAGGGTGCAGGACAGTGCTGTGCACCAGTGTGACAGTGGTTGGGTCCCTGTCTTTGTGGGCCAGGACAAGGGAATCTCCCTCATGTCCATCGGTTTCCTGCTGGAGCGGCCGGATGATGCCGTAGTGTGGAGAGGACCCAAGAAAAATGGTAAGTTAGGGTTTGCTGCTGGTGAAACCTCTGAATCCTTCTGCAAAGCCTCCTGGAGGTGGGCCTGGCTCCTGGGCAGGTCATTCTGTGGAGGAGCAAAGCTCCTGTTCTCCAGGAGCAAGTTCAGATCGCTCGGATGGGCAGAGAGCAGCACGTGTTGTGCTGTCAGGCAGCTCTGCCCTCTCTCCCAGGGTCCTTGTCACCCAGAGTGCCTCCCCAGCCCTGTCCCATGGCTCCCAGAGCACCTGCTGACACCCAGGGTGGGGTTTATTTCCATAGCTTTGATCAAACAGTTTGTCACTGACGTGGCCTGGGGGGACCTGGACTTCCTCATCGTGGACACACCACCAGGCACATCCGATGAGCACATCTCCACAGTGGAGGCCTTGAGGCCCTACAAGCTGCTTGGAGCAATTCTGGTCACAACACCCCAGGTAGGATGAAGGCTGAAATTCCTGGGCATGGTCTGGGGGGGAGGATTGATCCCAGGTGGGTGTTCACACAGGGCTGTCTGTGGCTGTTGTCCTACCTCTGCCTCCCACTTGGTTTCCATCTGCTCTGGAGCCACAGCTGATGTGGACAGAGGGACACCCTCAGCCCTGCTGCTCTCCCCACAGGCTGTGTCCGTTGGGGATGTGAGGAGGGAGCTGACCTTCTGTAAGAAGACAGGCTTGCAGGTCCTTGGGGTCGTGGAGAACATGAGTGGCTTTGTCTGCCCACACTGTGCTGTGAGTCTGCTCTGACCTCGCTGTCACCTTGGGGTCTCGTGGGTTCTTTGTGGTGGGTGTTGTGGGGTGCAGAAAACTTGGAAATGCCATGAGGCTGCTGCTGTGAGCTAGGGAGAGGAGATGCTGCTGTGTGTCAGCTGTGGAAGAAGCCACAGGCTCTGCTCTCCTGAAGAGAGCTGCAAGATGGCAGTGCCCTGAGGGTGGAGAGGAGCTCTGCTCAGGTGCAAGCAGCACGTGCCCTGGCACAGGGTGCTGAGGTTCCTGACTCACTGCTGTCCTTCCTCCTGCAGGAGTGCACAAATATCTTCTCCAAAGGGGGAGGGGAGGAGCTGGCCAAGCACGCTGGTGTTCCCTTCCTAGGTGAGTGGCCTCTGGAGGAGAGGTCAGGGGTGATCTTGGGGTGCTGTGGGAGGGTGAGTGGAGAGGAGCAGTGTCCTGGGGACAGGCAGGCTGCACTGCAGTCCCCATGAGCCCTGGGGTCAGGGTGACTCTTGCTTCGCTCCTCTGCCATCCAAACTGCTCAGAGTAGGCCCTGGCTGGGGCAGAGGTGACAATGCCAGCAGTCTGCTGTGACTGTTGTGGCAGCCTGGAGCTGTACAAGAGCCATCCTGGAATGGCCTGGAGCCTCCCCGAGGAATGGGGGCTGAGGGCTGGAGCTGCTCCTGGCCAGGACTGAGGGTTGGGGGGAGCAGCTCTCTGACTGACTCCAGCCCTTTGCCATACACAGGAGGCACTCACTGTCCCCACTCCCCCTGCCCCACAGGCTGTGTTCCCCTGGACCCTCAGCTCAGCCAGAGCTTGGAGGAAGGCAGAGACTTCATCCAAGAGTTTCCCAAGAGCTCTACCTTCAATGCCTTGGCTCACATTGCCCAGCAGATCTTGGACACCTCACAGCAGAGCTCCTGAGGCAGCTGTGGAGCTGGACTGTTGCTGGCTGAGCCCCTGACAGCCCCACCAGCAGGGAAGGGGGTGCAGGAACTGCTTAGCTCCAGAACTGTCTCACCTAC